AGGGCCAGAAGTCTGGGAGTGATTTAGCTCGGTGGTCCTGACTCGGGGTCTCTCATGAGATTGACTTCACCCTCAAGTGCACCTGCATGGTTATTGGTGGGCTTAGGCCCTCACTGTCTGGCTACAGGTCTTAGTTCCTTACCTCTTGGCCTCTCCACTCACAGTCTGCCTGTCCTTGTGATGTGGCAGCTGGCATCCTGAATGAGAGATCCAAGAGAAAGCACTGAACATGATACCTGCCGTGTCTTTTAAGACTTAATCTTGCAAATGAACTTCACTGTGGTTTTGCTGTACTGGCTGCACCAACTACCCCTGCTGATACGGAAGGGCAGGTACTGCAAAAAGGGGTGCTCCCTGGGAGGCATGGAGGGTCCAGGACCAGCTTGGAGGCTGCTGACCACTTTGACCACAAAGGCCTGACCACCTGGCTGGAACACCCACCACCATCACCTCTGCAGGAAACCTGGGGCCTCAGGAGCTAAAAGTCATCTTAAAGATATAAAGTTAGGACAACATGATCACAAATGAATCCACAAACGCTCTGGTGGACCATTTTTGTTATCATTTAAATAAAACAACAGCAAGTGAAGAGCCCAACGATGACACGGTAAGTTAAAGGTAACGGGTCCTGTACACTCCATTTCCATTCATTATGCTTTGCTTACTGGAGACTTTTCAGACCACCTAGCCAGCAGTTTTCAGATTCTTGTAAATTGGGGCTGGGGTGTAGCTCAGAGGTAGAGTACATACCTAGCATGCAAGAGGCCCCCTGGGTTCTGTCCCCAGCACCACGAGAAGAAAAGAAAGGGAGAAAGTAAGCAAGAAAGAAGAGATTCTTATAAATTTATATTGCTTAAGTGCAAGTACTGTGGATACCAAAGAGGCTCCTTCTCTGTGTCTAGCCCTGTGTGCGATGTTACAGCCATTCTGGTTAACGTGCTCCCAGACTTGCCCTGGCTATTGTCCTAAAGGCACAACTTTTCCCAAAGGCAATTTGCTAGTCAGTTAAGCAGAGAGGTGAAGGGAACCGCAATCCCTCACAGCCTGTGTCACCAAGGAGTTTAAAGCCTCAGAATAGCTCTTGTCTACTGAGTTCCAAAGCACATCAGAGCACAGCAACCCCAGGCCCTGGGTTCCACAGAGCCCCGTGCCCTCCGCAGCACCTGGCCTGCTGGCCCCTGCAGGGAAGGCTGGACCTTTTGCCTGCTCTGGGTCCCTACACCTGCCCCAAGGCCACACTATATTAAGCTCTACTGCCAGGGCCACCTCCTCTCCGCCCTTGGCCCTTTCCAGCTTGTAATTCATTTTGAAAAGTATCACTAGCAAGGTAGTTCCCGCTTCCACACACTGCCCCCTACATTCTAGAAGGTAATCTAAGGTATCAATTACAATGAAAGGAAGAATCAATGTGACCTTTTATAGTCTTCTAAGGATTGGACTGTAAGATTGCTTTATAACCCCAGGGTTTACAGAAGACTATTTTATTAGACTTGTTAAATAAATGCATGAAGAGCGAGGTAAGGGTAACTTTAAGCCTACTAGCCCTGTTTGCTAAAATGAAACTGGCAATGCCATGATGTCCCCATCCCCGCTTCCGCCCCATGACCCCTCCAAAAATTGGCCAATGGAACTGTACAGTAAGGGGACCCACAGCTGAGGTCGAGACTGTCATCCTACTGTTCAATTGTGTGCCTCTTGGCATCAGAAGACCTAATAATGCATCTCAACTCAGATGTCTTCTTATCACTACGAACCGCATCTGCATTAGGAGGCTTGGATCGGGTAACAAGACAGGAAGAAAAATCTTCCAGAGGAGATACAGAATATATTTAGAGGGGAAGAAAGGGGTGTAGTGTGGGCATAGTTGACCTGCTTACAGAGTTCAGAGAGACAGGTTGGAGTGAATCCAAGAGACCCAGTGGTGGCTCTCCTGTCCTGATAAATGTGGTACCAGCAGCAGCATAGCAGGTGTGTAAATCCTGTATTGGTTGGGACTCTCCCAGTGGCCAAGTGACAAAAGCTGAATTCAAGTGGCACGTCTATACAATGGAATATTACTCAGCCATAAATAAGAATGAAATTATGCTATTTGCCAGTAAATGGATGGAACTGGAGACTATCTTTCTAAGTGAAATAAGCCAATCCCCAAAAAAACAAAGGCTGAATGTTCTTTCTGATATGTGGATGCTAACACACAATAAGTGGGGAGGGAGAATTGGAGTACTTTGGATTAGACAAAAGGGAATGAAGGGAAGGGTGGTTGAATGGGAATAGGAAAGACGGTGGGATGAATCAGACATAGCTCTCCTGTGTGCACATATGAATACACGACCAGAGGGACTCCGCATGCACAACCACAAGAATGGGAAGTATACTCCATGTTTATATGATATGTCAAAATACACTCTACTGTCATGAATAACTAAAAAGAACATTTTTTTTTTAAAGTTGGATTCAAACTAGCTGGACAATGGAGGCAGGAACTTAAAGGAAAGATTTGGATGCTATGAGAATTCTCCACCCTCAACCCCCATCCTTATCTCTGTTTTTCTCTCTGTGTGTAGATTTTGTCTTCTCTTCCTATAGAAAGTGACCTTCACACAGCCGTGGACATGGAAGTCTATCTCCCTGAGTCACAGTCACAAGACTCTGTGGCCACAGAACAAAGGGCTCTTCTGAGAGATCCAGTGGGAAGTTCTGGGGTAGGACTCGCTTAGGTGCCAGGTTCACCTCCACACTAGTCCTTTTAGCCAAGAGGCCAGCTGAGTTAGCAAAAGATGGAGCAGAAGGGCTGACAATAGCTCCTACAAGCATGTGGGTCTGGACTGGGATGGTGTTTTGCTTCCAACCCACTTCCTTGCTGTGTTCTCAGTCTAACCTTTACTCTCATCATCTTCAAAATAGGGATATATTAATACCAGCCACAATTCTGTTATAAAGATTTAAATGCAATGATGCATATAAATACTAAATTCCACATCTGGCACATAGCAAATATTTGGAAAGTCTATTTTCTATTTTGGCCATTATTAATGCTTTGCTATCTGCTCAACAGAGAAACCAAACTATGGTACCTGGACCCCTAATTTGCACCCAAAGGATGGCTTTGTGTACCTGCCAACAATCCCCTACTTCTTCATACAGAACGATGCTGGGTAACATACCATAAAATACTACAAATCACAACAGAAGGTGTGGGAGGGTTCACAATGGTCAGAACCAGAATCATCCAATTTAGGATTTAAAAGAACTACTTGAAGCCAGGCGTTGTAGCGCACACCAGTAATCCTAGCAGCTCTGGAGGCTGAGGCAGGAGGATCACAATTTCAAAGCCAGCCTCAGCAACTTAGGGAGGTCCTCAGCAACTTATCAAGACTCTCTCAAAATTAAAAGTACAAAGGGCTGGGGACTTAGCTCAGTGGTTAAGCACCCACGGGTTCAATCCTGTTACCAGCAAAGAAAGAACTCCCTGATATTTCAGATAGTAAAACTGAATCGTCCACCTGCCTAGAGTCAGGAAACATAACTTAGTGCACAAGATTCTGTTGCCATGGAGAGAGAGCATGCTGGATTTTCAGGCAACAAGAAGACTCTGTTGATCTTGCCTGAGCTGGTGTTGACCTGCTGTCAGGCCTCTTCTTGACCATCTGTAAAATGGGGCTGAAGAGACTCCTCTCCTCCTCCCACTGGGAGGAACAGCGAGACTAAGTGAGGCACCGTTGGTGAACTGCTGTGCGCTCCTCTAATAAAAGGCTCTATGCAGGTGCTTGGCTTTGTTAAACTCTTCCTGGTTGTCAGGTATAGAGTGAGGAGCTGCTTGGCGCCACTTCAGAGAGTTGCTAAGAAACACAGACACGGTAAATGTTCTTTTTCAAAACTGAGATCACATTGGGAGTTGGTGCAGTCACTGCCTTGACCTGTGAGACCTCATGCCCAATCATTGACACCATTCCTCGTCATGGTTTGAGAACTGCAATTAGACCAAGTGAACTTTGGCTGGATTACTGTTCAGTTAACAATAGGAGGCCAAGTAATTGCATGCTGTAGAGCAGTGGATTGAAAAAAAAAAGTTTATTAATAATACACTAAAAAGACAATAAAATCACTACAAAGGCATAAACCCAATGGTAGGTTAGGCCCAGCAGATATTGACTTGTGCAAGCTGAATTTAGGAATTTTTCTAGCGGGATGTGAAACAGTCATTTTAAAAACTAAAAGAGGCCAGGCTCAGTGGTGCCCACCTATAATCCCAGCCTCTCAGGAGGCTGAGACAGAAGGATCTTGAGTTCAAAGCCAGCCTCAGCAAAAGCAAGGTGCTAAGCAACTCAGTGAGACCCCTCTAAATAAAATTCTAAATAGGGCTGGGGATGTGGCTCAGTGGTCGAGTGACCCTGAGTTCAATCCCCAGTATACAACAAAACAAAAAAACTAAATGATATATACTTACAATTTTTAACATACATTAAAAGCAAAGCTAATAAATTCTCAAAACTTACAATTTTCTAATACTTTTATAACTATGCTTTCTCTAGAGGTTACTAACCAGCATTGCTCACGGGTTAATAGAAATCTCACATACTGAGGTGCTACTTTGCATTTCTTTCCAACTGCATATCCAGAGATGTCCTTTCCGTGCCTTGAAATTGGTCCCAGTAGAAGTACGTATACCTCGGCAGTCAGACTGCTGCAAATCAGGTACCTCACTTTATCCAAGAGTCATTTGTGGACTGTTTACCGGTACACCACTGTAGACAAAGAGAGAACAGGACCAGAGACGACAGAAGGAAATAAAAAAGCTGGTGAATGAAAAGTGATGAATTTAACACAGAATATAAAACTGAAATCTAAACTCCCAAAAGGGGAACCCAAAGAAGCAAACCAGCTATACCACAAAACCTTAGAAAAAACAGAAGCTGGTCCCCTCTGTAGAACTTGGGTACAGATGTGCTGAAAATAAACGTGTTGAACATTTGTGCCAGAAACATTGTTTCTTCTCATCCCTGTGTGCACCTATGAGGAAAGGTTGAATCAGAGGCAGACTGGACTGGAGGACACTAGGCACAGCTGAGAACTTGCTTGCCATACACTCTGGAAACAGAGAACTAAAAGTCTGTGCTCTGAACACGAGTGGTGTGACTCTACTTTGTGTACAACCAGAGACATGAAAAATTGTGCTCTATATTTGTAATATGAATTGTAATGTGTTCTGCTGTCATACATAACAAATTAAAATAATTTTTTTAAAAAAGTATTTGCTCTGAATTGTGAGATTCCACAGTCCCCTTCCCCCTTCTCTGCTGCTCCCAAAATGCTGACAATGAGGCTTTAACTCCACAGGCAGAAGATTAGAGGATTCACTGCTGGGGAAACTGGCCAGAAAGACTACAGAGAATGGTCTAGCAAGATGCCTTAGTGAAACATTCAAGTGTCTGCAGAATCACCCCACAGTGAGACCCCTAGTTGACAAGCTTCACCCACGTACACATTACTTGAGTGCAGCAATCACCAGACATTTCAAGGAAGACTCTAACACACACCCACACACACACACACACACACACACACACACACACACATATATATATATATATTTTTTTTTTTTTTCAAAGTATAGTTCTGGGCTGGGAATGTGGCTCAGGCGGTAGCGCGCTCACTTGGCATGCGTGTGGCCTGGGTTCGATCCTCAGCACCACATACCAACAAAGATGTTGTATCGGCCGAGAACTAAGAAATAAATATTAATAATTCTCAAAAAAAAAAAAAGTATAGTTCTATGCCTGAATAAGCCATCAGGTGCAACGGGAGAGCAGAGACATTATTGCAAGGTCTCCAAATATTTACCTGCCATGAACCCTTTCTCCCAAAGCCACTGGAGGATATGCTCCAACAAAAGGAAGAATTGGCCAAGAAAGAAGATACAAGCTCCAAGAAACAGAGGATCCAACACAAGATACAAGGAAAGAAGATTCCCAAGAGGGAAGCTCTGGGGTCACAACAGTGGGCCTGAAGAGAAGCCTGTCTGAGTTTGGAGCATGATGATAGTTCCAGGAAGATGTCCTCACATGGAGCGAAAGGCCACAGAGAGATGACCAGTGTGTTCATCACACAAAGGGAAGCTCAGGGATGAATTATTTATATATATAAATAATGTGTATATATATACACACACACATACATACATACATATATAGGCATATATATGTATAAAGTATATATATACATAAAATAAGAAGATAAAGCAATTATTAACTCCAGAGAGCAAAAGATGTACAGAGAAATGTAATCACAGTTCACTGTCAACAATATTTACATGCCAAAACAACATTAATACTTGCAAATACTAACCAATGATTTCCTTAGATGTGATGTCCTGACTCATAATAAATATTTTTAAAACCATGTTTTCCGCACTGTAGGGTCTTGAAAATCAGAACACATCTTGACATCGTTATGATAAAAAAGCATCATATCATGGTGCAATTGGGAGCATTCTTCTTCTATTGTGGCACCTAATAAAATAATGGTAAATTTCATCAACATTCGCAGCTAAGATAGGAAGAAATACAAGAACTCTCCTCGAAAGAGAGAGACAAGCAGGCCAGGAGACAGGAGGAGAAAGCTAACCCCTCATTTCCATAACAAGAAGTCAGCCGATTATCTCTACAATTATTATTTAGAGTGATTACTGCTAATTTCTGCAGAACAACTAAAATCAGAGGGCGGTTGACTCTGCACAGCATGATTGGGCCAGGAAGCTCCTAGGTTGCAATGGTTCTATGAGGGCTGAAGGTATCTGATTTGAAGCCAGACATATGTATTAGAAGTAAAAATATTAGGAATAAATATATTTTAAAAAACGTACTGAAGCTCTGCCATCTCGAGCCTCACTGAACCGGTGTCAGGCTGTGAAAGGCAAGAGGAATTTCTAAGGGTTCCTCCATCAAGACAGGCGCCCAGCCCGTCCCCACTGTCCTTCTGAGCCGGTTGCGGGAAGCCAGGCCTCCAGAGCGATGTGCACGTTGGTTCCCTGTCACCTCTGCCTCTCATCTTAGAACACGCCACCGCCGCCTGATTTCTCACGCTCCGGAGTTCGTGGAGCTGGTCTTGGGAGAAAGTGGTAACCGCAGCGCAGCGCGCATGCCACGCTTTTCTAAAGGTCTTGTTACTCAGAGCCCTGAAGGATGAGAAAGGAAGCCGGCCGTTGGCTAGGCAGGTGGGGAGCCTCCTTCACGTCGACATCTGTTCGTGGTTCGGGAAACCCAGGCCTCTCCTGTTTTGCAGAGGAAGAGCCCTGGATGCCTGACGCAGAGAGGCATCCGCTCCTGCTGCGCCCAGCCAGCAAGATTGACACCGGCGTCCGGAACAGGAGGGTGATAGAGCGAGAGGAAATTCCTCCTGATAAAGCAGAAACTGCTCGTTCCTCAGATGTCAGGGTTGCACATGAGCTTCTGCAGGCAAAGAGGCCACCCAGCTGTGCGCCAGGACATTGTGGCACGGCCGGCTGCTGCAGAACAGCCATCTGCAGACGCTCCCAGGAATCTGGCGGCGCCGAGATGGGGAATACGCACCCAGGGAGTGCGAGGCACCCTGAGAAGCGGACCGGGCCACTGGCTTTCCCCCAGCAGGGCTGATTCAGCTGCCGTGAATGCCGCAGCCACACCACAGACTGATGGAAACTGTCCCGATGGTAAACAGCCCCGGCCCCTCCCCGGGCCCCACACCTCCCCACCCGCCCGCGACCAAAGGGGGAAACATATGGCCCAGCAGGGGGCCTCCTGGAGCTGGCTGCCGCGGCCCAGCGGTGACAGCTCTGATTGGTCAGGCCGCCTGTTAAATATTTTAAACATCGCTCCCCACTGCCAGATCTGTGAGAGGCTGGAGCAACCACTTCCTGCAGAAATTCCTCCACCTCCCTCTCCCTCCTCCATTTCTCCGTAGCTCAGTGATTGCCGGTTTAGAACAATTGAGAGGGAGAGGGAGAGAGACAGACAGACAGACTGTCTCTATCTAGTCAAATGTCTTTTCCTTTGCTAAGAAAAGAAGCCCTTTTCTTATTCCCAGGGGGCTGCTGGTGCGCCAGACTCCAAGGAAATTTTCCTCTGTGCTCTTCTTCTGCTGTCATAACTTGTTTATCATGATGAAATTAGGCCCAGATAGCCAGGGCCTGCATCATAAAAGGGGAAAACAAAGTTACTGGAGGTCGGCAAGCAGCCCCAGGGATGCGCCAGGGGACAGGGAACAGGAAGGGCCTGGGTGATATGTTTGCAGAGCCCAGGCTTGCTGAAGGCTTCTGGGTATCCAAATTCTTTAACCCCGACTGCCAGAAGACCTCTTTGCTTCAGCCTACCCACCTCTCAGCTGCCACTCTGGATTTTCAGCCCCTGCAGGAGGGGGACCCACAAGGTGCAAGTCACAGGCCCTGGGGATATTCTGGGCTTCTCTCATGAAGCCCTAGAGGGGACCGTGTTTCTCTTAAGTGGGAAGTTTAGCTGGTCTCTTACCCTTTGATGGAAGCAGGCCCAGCTGTGGCCAGCGGAATCACTCCTGGCTGGGTTAGGGCAATATAGGGTTGGGGGAGGGGAAGACATCCTTTGGGACTCTGGAAAGACTTCTGATAAGGAAAACCATTCAATCTGTTGCATCTATCGCCACAGAAAACATTTTCCTGTTTCCAAGTTATGAGACTTCAGCAAATGTAGTAAATGGTCTTTGGGGCTTGATTCTGTTGCATTTTGCTTGTCTTTATGTGAAATCAGGGGCAGGCTGCATAGTGGAAAGGGCCCATCCAGTAAGGACTCAGAAAACCAAAGTCAACCTGTAATCTCTCCAGCCATTTCTTCCTGAAATAAAAATAGTGCTTCACTGCCTCCCGGGTTATGGTGAGTAGCAAATTTCACCCAGTTTGTAAAATGCCTTAATAAGTATAGACACATGCATGGAAGGGATTCTGATACTCTTCTATTCTAGGAAACTAGTCTGTGCGTAAGGGACACTCACGCAGCAAAGGCAGGGAGCAGCTTAGCAAAGCTGGCCTCTTAACGATCAGCCTCCCTTCCTTTCCACCCATTCCCTCTACCCGCTCCCATGCTACACTCCCACTGCTTTGTGGGACAGGGCCTCATTGTGCAGGGCTGCCTCTGTGGGCATCGCTCTCTCTCAAATCACATTGCTCCTCCTGTGGTGTGTGGGCTTCAGTTTGCCCAGGAACACCCCCAGTTCTGCTGTGGTACCACCCACAATCTGGGTCTGCAGGGGGTGAGGAACCAGATGGCCAGGGGAGGAAGAAGCAATAAGGAACTCGGCTTGTCTAACCTGGGGAAGAGGCGGTTTAAGGTGCCCATCGTAGACAGTCTCTAATGCATCCTTTTAGAGAAAAAAAAAAAAAGATTAGAGAGGTTCTGTACAGCTTTTTGGATAAAACCTAAACATAGGGTCATGTACATCCTTCTATCACCTAAATGGAATTATTCTGTACATCTTATTGAGCCACTATTTTCTCACAAATTGGCATGCTTTTGAGGTTTTTCCCTCTCAATGTGTGAGAATGGTTTAATTTTTTTAACAGCCACCTGGAGTTTCATAGTACAGATATTATCGGTCCCCTGGTTAAACATTTAAATTATTCTCAGCCTTTGGCTGCAATGACCGTCTTTGCACACGTCTTTGAACCCGTGGGGACTGTTTCTGTCCAATAAATTGTTACAGGTAGAATTGCTGGTCAAAGGGTATGCTTTCTTAATTTTGATAGATACAGCCATAATGAGTAGATTTTACTTTTAAGTAAAAAAAAAAAACATTTTTAGCAACCAAAACTGCCCCAAAATGGTGTGGACCACTTTAGGAAGTTGTGAGTGTCAGAAGGGAATCAAAAGCAGGCCTCAAACCAACTGGTCAGGAAGCCGTTGGGTATAATCAAGCACTGTGAACTCACAGATGACAAAAGTCCCTTTGAACTCAGATATCTTTTTTAATTTTTTAAAATTCTAATTGACAAAAATCATTATCTATTATGTGCAACATGTTTTGAAATATGTGTTCTCTAGCCTTCTAATAATAAGTATAGCCCTAGAGGCTCGACATACATATTTTTGTTGAACATTGTTCAGTGGTAAACTGGAAGGGACAGGAAGGAGGCTGGGCAGTGCGACACATTCCAAAAGTAGCCATTGGGCAAAGCAACGCTCCGGTACAAAGAGTTCGCCCGTGGTATGCTTATACTGTGTGGGGCCTGGATGATGGTCCAGGGGGTATGCAGGGAGCCTCTCCTTGTCCTCTCTGTTGTCACTCACATTGTCCACATCTGGAATTCCACATATGAAAAAATGCTGTTGGCAAATGTGTCTCAAAGGCAGAGCTCTCTGGCCATCAGTCGCCATTAGGTCAGCATCCCCAACTGCCGAGCGTGGAGTGTTCCTACGGCCACAGGTAACTGAACACAGGAGGTTCTCCAGGGGGAAGAAGTTCCCTCCCTTACAGTCAACACATTTCATTTTTTGGAAGGAGTTTTCTTAGATCCTTGGGCAGAAATCTGTTTCCCTTTAAAGTCTGTTTCTTGATTTCAATTCTTCCTTTTAGAACCATTAAATTACATAATTTTCTTGCTTCTACATACCAGGCCTTACCATATCTAAGGACAGCCATTAGATGCCAACTTGGTCCTCTCTCCTTTGGGTTCAAGCTCCGTTCTTGCTATGGTTCCTTCTGAGTCATGTTTTCCAGACATTCATCATCTTATTGCTGATTTTGAACACCTTCCCCCTCAAGTAGTCCTCTCCCTCTTGGAAGTGCTGCCCAAGAATTTGGCCAGTTCTAAGAAAGGGTATGGTGGAATCATTCCTCTGTTTTCCCGGCTCCTTTCTAAAGCCTGCATACCAGAGAGCTCTTGCTTTGGCCTATCAACATGCCTCAGGGTGAAAGCACCCTGATTTCCTGGAATTCTTCTTCCTTTTCTAAGGAATCCTGTTTCTCCCTGTGTCCTCCCATGGGGAAATGATAGCACCTCGAACCCAGCTCAGCCATTCAGACTCTGGCTTCCAGACTTTTCAGCCTTTGGGAGAATGATGTAACAGAAAAGAGTGGAACAGAGAAATTCCAATGGAGGACAAGGGTCTTCTTCCTGAGGGAGTATGGTTCTTCAACATCCAACAACTATTTCATCCTTTTCCAGAAAATTCCTTTTCTGATATAGAGTCTGGGTCATTTGCTTACAAGCAAAGAACACTGACCCAGATGACCCTGTCCTGTCCCAACTCCAATAGAGTTCCCCGTGGGCTCAAGATCCCTAAGTCTATTTTGCAGTTGCTGCCATTCAACTGCATGTTGCTCTCCCCCCACCCCTGCCCACAGCCTCTAACCGGCTGCCTTCTCCACCTGGGCCCAGCCCCTCAGGATAGATCCTGAGGAGTGCGTTTGTAGGAGCAGCATCTCAGACACGTCGAAAAAGATGTTTTAGTCCCAATAATAATGAGAATAAAGGCCAGAGAGAGGTGTTCTGAACAAGTTCAAGAACTGTAACTCAATTTACAGAAACTGTGAGCCATCTACTGACTAAAAATGCACTCATCCAAAGAAACAAAATCAGCACGTCCAAGAAACATCTGCACTCCCATGTTCATGGCAGCGTTATTCACAATAGCCAAGAAACGAAAACAACTGAGTGTCCATCAATGGGTGAATGAATAAAGAAAATGCAATACATAAACATATTTTTTATCTCTAAATGCTATTCAAAGATTAAAAAAAAAAAAAGAAATCCCAACAGTGGCACACACTTGTAATCCCAGCTACCCAAAAGACTGAGGCAGGAGAATCAGAAGTTTGAGGCCAGCCTTGCCAATCAAGCAAGACCCTGTCAAAACAAAACAGACAAAACCCCCACAAAATCCTGTCATTTGCAACAACAAGTTTGGAACTGGAGAGCATCATGTTAAGTGAAATAAGCTAGGTGCTAACAGACAATGATTTCACTTATATGTAGGATCTAAAAAAGTCAATCTCATAGAATTGAGAGAAGAATGGTGGTCACCAGAGGCTGGGGAGTATAGGAGTATAGGAGAGATAGGGAAAAGTTGATTGATGGGTACATAGTTATAATTAGGAGCAAGAAGTTCTGGTGTGCACAACAGATTGTAGAAAACAATAGTGTACTGTAGATTTTGGAACACTAGAAGAAAAAAATTTGGAAGTTTTTACTACAAAGAAATTGTGTTTGAAATGAGAGATGTTAAACCTGATTTAAACATCACATCAAGTGACTCCATTAACATGTACAATTTTTATATAACTAGTTAAAAATAAATTCAATTACAAATGGACAAAAAAAAATTGCATGTTGACAGTTCTGCACTTGGAAAGGTGATTTGGGACAAAAACACAGCCCTTGGAGATCATGGGTTTCCTCTTCTTAGTTCCTATTTGCTGTGGCCTGCTGATTTGGCTAACTTGCCATCAGAGTTTCCAGTTAAGTCACTGGCAAAAATATAAAAGAATATGCACCATCCTAGCCTGTGTGTATGGACAGCTTACTATGAACACCTTTCAAGAGCAGGAAATCTGTATAGTCAGATTACCCCATCGCCTCATAGGTGATGGAGCTGAGGTCAAACCCAAGTCTGTCAGACTGAAACCAGGGAGCTGGGTCCCCTTAGAACCCACAGTCCACAAGACACTTGGGGGACAGGCTGCATCTTCCACTTTTCCTGAAGACCTAGAGATGAAGATTAGGGTCGGCCGTGAGAAAGCCCTTCGAGCCAGCACCAGGCTGCAAAAGGCCCAGCCTGACCCCATATTCTCACTAACAGAGTGGTAGAGCTAGACATTGTGACCCCTGGGTGGGGAGGTGGGGAAAGGAGTGACAGATGGAAGACTTGGTTTAAGGCAGGAGATTGCAAGAGAGAAGAGGACCTGGGTGAGGAGCCTCCTCCAATGCAGACTTCATTCAGCATGGTGGTATCAGCACACTCATGGTCCCACCTATTAATTTCATGGCTGTAAGGGTCGATATTGGCATCTCATGGTGCCCTCTTTGAGAGACAGAGGTAGCAGGAAAGATGTCCCTGCTTCTCACGGTCCTCTTCCCCTCCCCAATCCCCTGCTGAGCTCTGACAAGGTCAGCTTTTAGAGAAGGGAATTAACAACCTAAGAAATCTGACGTGCCCAGAGAAAAGACAAGCATTGTATGACAAAGAAATTATATTAAGATAAATTCAGATGTGTTTTTGCTGAAGATTTTTTTTCTCACCCTAATTGGATAGTATAAGATCCTAATTGTATAGCCTTAGTCATTGAGAGAATCTCAACTGATTTCTATCATTTAAAACAGCTTTTTATAGTCACAGCATCTAGATAAAGTACATTTCCTCTTCTTTTCCAACATATCACATTTCTTGGCAGAAACATGTAGCAGAAAGTACCAAAATTTTTATAATGAGGATAAAAATCCAAAATTTCGCACATCAGATTTCTCTTTTAGATTATGTCTTCCTGTGCAATCTTTCCTTCCTTTAACTTTATTTTAGTGGCTCACAATTTAAAATTTGATTTCAACATCATTCAATCATCTTAGAGGATCTTGTTGCCAAAGGATATTTGCTCTGACGTTAAAGGCTTCTAAATTGAAAGGACTTTGCAGCCTATTCACTCCGGAGCTTGGCTGGGATCAGGCTGCTGCCACCTCCCACTCAAATTCCAAGGGTGAACTCCAGAATGGCCTTCCTGCTTTCTCTGAGTTTAACTTGGCTCCTGTCTACGATTTTCCTTTTTAAAAGCGTTGTTGTACTCTTGATTTCATTGCAAAGGTTGCTTGGTGATTACCTTTAAGAGTAAAGGTCAAGTTCAAACCCCAAATACCACAAGACCCTGAGCAGGAGCCACATGAAGAGTCCTTACTTAAGGATCAGGAGGCCCAAGTGGCCTTTGCTACCTTCAGCTGAGTCACCGCTCTCTCCCCAAACCTTTTGCTTTCTGCCCTGAAACGGCCTTCCCGGCTCTGCTCAGTGACTAACTCCATCACGAATGTGACCCAGTTTGTTTGGCAGGATGAGATTTTTTTTTTAACTCACACTGCTTTTACTGGTCACGATTCTCTCCCAGGCATTTAGCGACTCCCTCTCTGCACCAGCCTGGCCCTGCTGCTGAGCTGGATTGATGGCTCTCTCCCCAGCTGTTCCCTTGCAGCCGGCCCTCCTCTCTCTGGCAAATCCATATTCCATTTGCTTTTCTGTAGCATTCTGATATCTCTAGAGTCTCCTTAAAATAGATAGATAAACACTAATCTCCAAGGCAAGTCGAAAGGCAGGGCCCACAGATTTGTACCCGCTCAATAATCTGCTCCAGAAGGCAGCTGGATAAAAAAGAATCACAATAATAATCACCCACTTGTACAGGGTTTTTTTTTTTTTTATCATTTAAAAAGCACTTTTCACCCACCCGGTCATATTCAGTATTCACAGCAAACCCACAGCTCAGGTATATGTGCTATTTCCATTTTATGGATAAAGAAACCTAGGCCCCAAGAGGTGAAGAACTCCCTACAGCTAAAGAAAAGACAGGGCCAGAACTTGAACCTGTGCTTACGAAACTGTTGCGTAAGTTACATTCAGTAAGATGCACAGGTCTTCAGTGTTCAGTCTGATAGGCACCTGAGACACAGCCCGGAGGGTCATTGTATACAATAGTCTTTACGTGGCTGCATTTTACTGTGGCCTGTCTTATGAGATCAGGAGTGGAATTTTCCACTTGTGACATCCTGTGGGCACTCAAAAAGTCTTGAGATTTTGGAGCATTTAAGATTTCAGATTTTCAGATGAGCGATGCTCAACCTGTATACACCTTCTGACTATCACCCCAGGAGATAAAGCTAGTCCCATCACTCAGAAACACTCCTGGGGCTCATTTTTGATTCTTAGTTAAGCTTCCAACCACCTTCTGACTCCTACGCCATAGATTAGCTTTGGCTTGAAATTGAGTCTCTGACTCTAAACTTCTGAATTCCAAACTCATTTCTTTTTTCCCCTATACCACCTCGTGTCTAGAATTAACAAAACTGGCACCCGGGTCGCACCTGGGCAAAATCGATAGACACTGGACATCAGGAAACCAAGCCATAGTCTTTCCACTGAAAAAGTAGGTCAGCTGGTCAAGGGGAACTTGAGGCCTACAATTTGGGGAATATATAAAGAGCAGTCTCCAAATACACAAAGGCCTACTGTGAGGGACTCCTTGTTCCTCCACCCAGAGTCACACCTCGTGTACAGACACGTTACCAAAAGAAAACTGCTATGAGGTTGGAAAGGAGAGGTGCTGGAGTTCAACTTTGGGATAAAGATCCCCAAACTTCAGCCTTGTACTTCTGGAACCTTTCCACCTTCTGTGAATGCTCACCTCAGGGCTCTGAGGCCACCAGCTGCAAGAACACCCTAAATTCCCTTTTGTGGATTTCCCATGCCCACAGGACACATGTAACCTGGCAATTGGAAGCTTTGCAACAGGAGGCCTCCAAGTGGGGAGAAAAAGAGACAAGAAATAATTAAATCCCAACTATTAATTTCATGGATGTAAGGGTCGAGAGGCCCACCTGCTAAGTCATGGTCGGTTTCCACTGGCAAAGGGGTCCCTAAAAGGATTCCCCTCATCTGAGTGCCTGCTCAGCTTCACGCTGAACTCCGCGTTCAGTCAGCAGGTTAACTGGTTCCTCTCGGATCTTGTTTACACACAGTGGCAGCTGGTAAATGTTTAACAGCTGATTCTCCAGGAGTTGGAAAGAGCCCTGATGTGTAGTATTTGCAGATTTCTGTGGTGTCACCCAAGACCAGCTCAGCATCCTTCCAACTTAACAACCTTGAAGTTTATCAAGCCCGCCGCTTCCCCAGGGGCAGAACAGAGAAGGGAGACAGGAGCCAGTCACGGCTGGGCACACCAGTGATGTCCAGGGTGGGTGATTCCTGAGTGGCTGGGTCCCCTCTGCCGGCTGGCCCAGGCTCTCCCAAAACAGTTTTCTCTCCAAAAGACGGGTTGCTGTTGACTCAGCGGTTTGCAAGGGGCTTTTTCTGGTTGAAATCTTCAATAAACTTTCCAAGTCATTCCGAAGTGCAGAATTCACGTAAGCTAGCCTGCGATGAATTCCCACACATCCCCCATCCAGAATCCGAGCTTGCCAGCACAAACCCTGTTTTTTTTTTTTCTTTATGGTCCTGAAGATGGAACCCTGGGTCTTGCACATGGGAGGCCGAGGCTTTCCCGCTAAGCTACGTCACCAGCCCAGCCTCCACCTTTCTTCTTTGGCCTCCATAAACAGCACGTCTTTAAACTCTTGAGGCTCTCTCTAAACATCCAGCTTGCTTTCTTGTTTTGCTGTGTTTTCCCTTCAGAAGACTAATTGCAGAAAAACACAAGAATGTCCTCATTTCCTGCTCCCGGATGAGCATCCCCAGCTCTGTGCAGCCGGGGAAGGAACGGACGGACGGGCAGGAAGAGGCTCTGCTCAGGGAAACAGCGTGGGAGCCAGGAGCAAGCTCCAGTCCTTAGATAAGGACAGGCTGCCGCTCTGCTGCCATATTATACCCCTACCGAGGGGCCACGAGAGTAGGAGAAAAGATGAAATGTGCAGGCTCGTCAAACCATCCACGGGGTGGAAAGAAAGACAGATGGCTGCCTGTTCTACCAGGTGCCTGTGACGGGTCAGCCCAGCCAGGAGTCTGCGTGACTTGTCCCCACCTCTTCAGAATGGCCGGTCCTTCTTTGCATCTTGCTCTGGGTTTTGTTTTCTACTCTGCCCATTCCTTTTGCAGGAACCGTGGCTTTACATTTTTAAGCCTCCTGATGACTGTAGATATATTGTTATCCCAACTTCCTGTCCCTCTTGTTCTACAAAGTCTTCTTCATGTCACGTGTGCATTAAATTCTTCTGACAGTGCTTTACTTTGCAGCTCTTATGGAGGGGTTCCGAGCTACCTGAGAAGAGGCCTCTGCCTCTGAGATTCTGTCATCTAGGAAAGAGCATCATAATGATATCTCATTTATAGGTTTCCAATTGTCAAATAGACTCATTCATAAGAATAATCCTTTAAATAGACTCTAATGTTATTTCCATTTGAAATAGGGAATAATTGAGATTCAGAGAGGTTAAGTCAATTGCCATGGTCACACAGCTGGTAAATAATGAAGATAAATACGGAAACGGAATTCTAACCTGTGAAACCTGGACCCTTACTACTGTGTGATATTGTTTAATGCCCAAATGACAATAATACAAGGGCGAGAGTACGAATAGCAGAAACAGCAGATATGAAGAGATGGAGGGTCTAAGAGGATGGGAATGAGAACTAAAGGGGTATCCTAAGAACCTTTCCTTTGGAAGGCTTTGAGTTCCTGGCCCTAAAGCAGAAACTGGAGCTCTCCGGGGGCTCTGGGCTAGTGCCCACAGGGCGGAGGCCTCCAGAGACCTCCTGGGACCTGGAATGATGATTCTAACCAGTGTGGCCTTCGAGCTGAGCCTAGAAGGAATGCCTCTTGATGTGGGGGTCGAAGGGAGAAGGTTTGGGGGTAAAAAGAAGCCAGGGATCAAATTTCCAGGGCTCCAGCACACAGTAGGCACCAGAGACGTTCTCGGCCACAAAGCTCGCCCACCACTTGGATCTGGAATGTAGACAGCCATGGGCTGCAGAATGACATTGACGTCACATATAATAGTGTCCCATAAGGTTTTATTGAAAAACTCCCATTGCCCAGTACTTTCACTGTACCTTTCCATGTTTAGCTCCACACTTACCATTAGGTAGCCCAGTTGCCTGCAGTGAAGAGCTGTTCGTAGCCCGGGAGCAAGAGTCCACGCCATACAACCTAGGTGTGCTGTAGACCACGCCATCTGGGTTCGCGTTCAGTGCACCCTGGGGTGATGGCACAGTGGTGGGATTGCCTAATGATGCATTTCTGGGAACATATCATTAAGTGATGCTCGGCTGCACATCAACACAGCCAGTGTTTGCTGGTGAAAGATGCGAGAAATGTGATCCTTCAAGACAGAAGTTCTCAAGCTATGCTCCTGAATTTATTTCATAAGCTCTCACAAGCTGGACTTGGAGGCTCCATGGTAAAAAATTTAAAAACTGCCGTTGTTACCAACTTCATATGAAGATCCTCCAGGCCTCTCAGCTTCCATGGGTAAGTTTTTTCTCTTAAAACATTTTCTTAAAACTCTGGCACCTGCTCCAGCTATCTGCCAGAAAACACCGATACAATAAAACAAATAAATGAGGGTAGCTAACGAATGTTAGCCGAAAACCACAGAAATAACCCAGTTAGGCTCGGTGTGACAACTTGATTTTTTTTTTTCATGAACAGTTGGTGGTAATTTAAAATTGCATACATATGTTACAGAGACATGCTTTTTGCATGTCAAGTTGTTTTTAGATCATTTAATGGAAGTAAATACTTCAGTAGCTCGTGGTGTTCTCCAAAGACCCTCATAGCTTCAGGTGACATCCCTTGCCTTCCTAATCTGCATATGACTGAGTGTGATTGTGTAATGATTTCACTGCAATGTGACTACAGGGTAGGAATTCCGTGTCGTGGGATTGTGCTGCTCCTAGACTGGAAGAAGGTTCTTGGAAGTGCTGATGGAAAATGGCTCCATTTAGGGAAACGAAATACAAAGGAGGGTCCCACACCTTCTCTGCCATTAGCACTGGTTCTCCGCCAGGTGAAGGCGTATCAGAAGCATTTTGGCTTCACCAAGTGGACCTCCCCTGCCTATGACATGGGAGGCCCTAGGGAGGAGGAGAGCAGGCACAATTTGAAAAGGCCTGATAGCTATGATTTCCACTCCTTATCAGTTTAGGAAGGACTGCCTGGACCGCCCAAGAACAGGGTCTCTAAAGATGTTTCAACATTTTAAATGTTTCTTTTTTTCTTTTTTTTGGTACTGAAGATTGAACATTGAACCCAGGGGTGCTTTACCACTGAGCTACATCTACAATCCATTCTATCTTTTTATTTTGAGACAGAATCTCACCAAGTTACTGAGGATCTCACCAAGTTTCTCAGACTAGCCTCAAAATTGCAATCCTCGTACCTCAGCCTCCAGATTCCTGAGACTAGAGGAGTACACCACCATGTCTGACTACATGTTTCTATTTTCAAGCACCCCCGTGGCTAGCAGAGAATGACTCTCGTTCCCTCCTCCCCGAGCCCGTCTCTCTCCCCAGACCTATAGTACAACCAGCACTGGACCCAATGTTCCAGGCCTGAAAAGAGGCTCCCTGCTGCCGATCATCCTGCAAAGCTGGTCAAGGCTACGGCATCTGCTCACTGGATCTGGTCAGCGCTAGCTGCCAGGAGATGATGCCACCCCAGGCTCGAGTCCCCCTGTGGCAGGAGTCTGCTCCACCCACACTGTCACCTCAACTGAGCGCATCCTGCTCCATGGTCTCAACAACACACTAGGTACGGGTAGTATTAGCCAAGGCCTCTGGAATTGCCTCCTGGACCTTCCACCTAAATATCCAGCAACAACCTCAAACTCAGCATGTTCCAGACCGCCCTTGTCATCTCCTGGTGCTACCCGGCTCTCCATCCCATAATTTATTTTTTATTTTTAATCGAGGCACAGTGATTGTACATATTCCTGGGTACCATGTGATCTGAGTAAATAGTGATCAGATCAGGGTAACTGTTCAGACATGCGTCATTTCTTTGTGTTGGGGACATGCAAAATCTTCTTTACTAGCTATTTTGAAACACACAATTAATTGTCCACCATAGCCATCCTACTTTGCTAAAGGGCATTCAAAGTTATCCTGCCCGCTTTCCTTCTGCACCCCACTCCTATTTTGAACTCAGTGGATGGTACCACCATCCACCTGGCCACCTGAGCCAGGAATTTGGGAGACATTCTTGCATTTTCCATTTTTCGCCTCCAATCTCTCAACCTGTAATGAGTTGCACTTCAAGTCCCATTTATTGTATTTAATGGGAATGTGTCCCCCAAGGTCCATGTGTTGGAAACTTAGTACTCGGGGCTGGGGATGTGGCTCAAGCAGTAGCACGCTCGCCTGGCATGCATGCGGCCCGGGTTCAATCCTCAGCACCACATACAAACAAAGATGTTGTGTTCACTGAAAACTAAAAAATAAATATTAAAAAAATTCTCTCTCTCTTTC